ATATTAAGCAATATCATAAAATCAACTAATATCCTTAGCATGCAGCATTTACAATTACCATAACCCTTGGTTACAATACCAAGCTCATCAATGAGGACTCACGCCTCATCATCATACTCATTTGGGAATTAGGTTCATTAGATTGATTATATTAACATCTTTCAAGATTCATTATCTTTATTCCTCTCATGTCGGAACGTGACACTCCGATCCTCATATTCTATCCTGGTACCAGAACGTGGCACCCGATCCATATTCTATCCTGGTGTCGGAACGTGACACTCCGATCCTCATATTCTATCCTGGTACCGGAACATGGCACCCGATCCATATTCTATCCTGGTGTTGGAACGTGACACTCCGATCCTCATATTCTATCCTGGTACCGGAACGTGGAACCCGATCCGTATTCTATCCTGGTGTCGAAACGTGACACTCCGATCCTCATATTCTATCCAGGTACCGGAACGTGGCACCCGATCCATATTCTATCCTGGTGTCGGAACGTGACGCTCCGATCCTCATATTCTATCCTGGTACCGGAACGTGGCACCCAATCCATATTCTATCCTGGTGTTGGAACGTGACACTTCGATCCTCATATTCTATCCTGGTACCGAAACGTGGCACCCGATCCATATTCTATCCTGGTGTCGGAACGTGACACTCTGATCCTCATATTCTATCCTGGTACCGGAACGTGGCACCCGATCCCCTAATCTCACTACTTTCGTTCATCAATCCTTCCTTTATACCAAGGCATCATCATTAACAAAGTAGATTAGGATTTCTTTTTCAAGATTTAGGATTCAATAGATTCATCATGCTTATTTTATCACAATTACATAATCACATTCATGCAAGCATAATATTAAGCATATAGAAGGGTTTACAATACTACTCATACATATCATTCGCTATTAAGAGTTTAATACGAATAGTATAAAAACCATAACCTACCTCCACCGAAGATTTCGTGATCAAGCAAGCATTTCCTCAAGATCTTTGTTATCCTCTTCGTTTCCCTTTTTCTCTCGTTCGATCCCCTCTCTTTTCTTTTTATTCTTTCTATTTTTCTTATTCAAACCCCCTTTCTTTTACCCTAATTAACATGTAATTAAGTGTAAACGATGACAGTAATAACCCAAAAATTAACTCAAGGTTACCTCTTTTATCCCCCAAGAAATTGAGTTATTAATATAAACCCACGAAATATATAATTATAGCAGGAATAGTCCAAAACTCCCCTTTAAAACTTAACCAAAAATCCGACTCCGACTGGGATTACGCAACCTGTGACGGCCCGTCGCGCCTGCGACGGTCCGTCATGCAGGTTCGTCAGAGACTCGATTTCCTTAAGGAGTCTGTGATGGCCCGTCGTACCTACGACGGTCCATCCTGCACTTCCGTCATGATGTTCAGAGAATCGTTCCCTGTACCAAATTCTCAAGAGTTGAAGTGTTTTGAAACGGTGGATCACGACGGTTCGTCGTGCCTGTGACGGTCCGTCCTGCAGGTCCGTCACAGAGTTCAGAGAGTCGATTTCAGCACTCAAATTTCAAAATTCCCAAGTGTTTTGGAACGACACACCCTCAACGGTTCGTAGTGCCCATGACGGTTCGTCGTGAGGTCCGTCGTCTCAGCCAGTTTTTCAGAAATAAAATCTGCTGCTCAAAACGACTAAACAGGTCGTTACAGGAGACCCTTGACGGACCGTCGTGCTTGAAACGGTCCGTCATACCTGTTCGTCGAGGGTAATGAAGAAAGCGGTAGAAGGATTTGTAAAGTATAAGATGACAGAGGCCATGACAGCCCGTCGTGACCACGACGGCCCATCACGAGGTCCGTCGACCCAACCGCGTTTTGACAGATTTTCAGCAATTAGAGTCCTTTTATTAGGTTTTTATTTTTATAAATTGTTTGAAAAACCTTGTTTTTGGGGTTAGATTCTCTTAAGTTAGATTCTCTTATGTTAGACTCTTTGTTAGTAGACTCTTTGATTGTTAGACTTTTGGAGAATTTTTAGTCTTCGATTAATTTCAGTAATTGATCCACTTTTTCTGGAATTGATTGTTGGCGCGTTTGTTGATTAATCAAGTGAACTTCTAGATATTATTCTTTCTCATTGAAGCTAGTGCATGAATTCTTATATTACATATATGAATATTGTGATTATAACTATGGTAACTAAACTCCATAATAGGGTTATGGGAACCATGAGTGGATGATGAGGTAAAATCTAACTAAAATAACGATTCTACAATACTGTCTTGCATGTATTGATAATTCTTTTGCTTGGAAGGCCAACGTTAGAACTCGCCTTAATGCTACTTGCCGGACCAAGGAGTTAGATAATAGGAAAAGAATTATCAACATAGATTTAGTGTATACTATCTAATAGGCTAGTATTGATTGGTACGAGGTAATAACTTAGTCAAATATTGAAGACAACGCTTAATGTGAGGTAAAGGTAAGGGTTAGTATAGTAACACACGTAGTCGGATCAAGGTGCGGAGTGAAATTTTCTAGATGCCGGACCAAGGATTTAGAAATACATAACTTATCACTTTGCATGCAAGATACTAGGAAAGAATTGTTATAGTTAGAATTATCAAGTTAGGAACCTGTGGGGAACACTTAAACCCTAGTTACTTTTATTAGTTGTTTGAACTCCAAGGTTTGATTTTGTTAGTAGGTTACTTTAATTTAGTTATTTATCTTTATTAATTTAGAAATAAAAATCCCCCTCTTATTGTCTTTTGTTTTCTATGGAAATAATTGACTACATAATTGTAATAATAGATTGAAGTTAAGTTTGAACTATTTTCTTCGTGGGAACGATCCCAACCTCATTAGTTGAGTTCTTTACTTGATACGATCGCTTTACTTCTTATTTGAGAAGTAAGTTTGAGCGTATCATTGACTTAAAGACTTAATGTAATGATGAATGCTTAACTTGCAAATGTCATTATGAGTTGCTTTCCTTGTCATGCAATATTAAATGTGAATGCTCTTTGTCTATTATTATTGAGTAAAGATGAGAAAGAAGAATGATAAGTATGTTATGGTGGCCTCAAATTGGTACTTAGTGTGAATGATATTATGAAATGTCATTCATACATTGCACAAGTATAACTTAATGGTACATTCATGATGGTTTTATTATGTTTTAATTAATGACCTACATGATGAATATGCTTATGTCTTGTGTGTTTATACTAAAGATGTATGATGATTCTCAAACTTGACATATAGCATGATTTTCAATCAAAATATTTTTTTAGCATGATTTTGCATGACGATCATACTAAGTACATATTTGTCCTAACCTATATTTCTTCTACATTTTACAGTGTGTAGGTTCTCGATCTTAAGGTGACTTTTAGTGTTCAAAGCTTGGATTGATTCTCTCCAAAGCTAGTGCTGAGTTCTCATGGTTTGAGGACAAGAGTTGTTCTTTCCTAGTTTTTTTTTTATGTCATTTTACATTTTTTGGACTATGTTGAAGGGTTGTGACCCTATCTTTGATTCACGTTGTATTAGATGACCATGTGAGACAAGTTAGACTTCCGTTGTTAGTTTTTAAATAAAGACTTCGATTGTATAAATAAATATTTTAGATTCCGTACATTTTCTTATGTCCTATGTTATGAATGCTATGAGGCTTGTAGGAGGCTCTCAGAGTCTTGTACGTCCTGTTACATCAGGGGTATAGGCTCGGGTCATAACACCACTATGAATTTTACTTTATTTGATCCCTTACTCCAATTTGCATCACTATATCCTTTCTATACTGTTGAATATTTGTTATAATGCAAGAGATAGTTTTGAGTATGTTTTAAATACTCGAAAGCTCTTTTCATTATCATCAATGACTTTGATTGAGATTACTAGTTAACCGACTCAGTTTATTAATAGCACATGTTATATCTGATGGCGTACACTTTTTGATATACATCATATGTCTCGATACTCTAGCATAATTCAATTGTGAGTCATTTTTACCTTAATTATTTTAAAGTGTAAAACTCACATTTATTGGAGTTTTGACAATATTGAAATTCAAATATTTGAACTAGTCAAGTACATCTTCAATGTAATGAGACCATGACAATGCTAAACATTGAGAAGTTGTAAGGATTCTTATACCTAAGATCAGATCAACAACTTCAAAATCTTTCATATCAAAGTTACATTCTAGCATATATTTAATAATTCCTCTGTCTCAATTTGTGTGACTTATTTTCCTTTTTAGTCAGTCCCGAAAAAGAATGACACATTTCTATATTAAGTGATAATTTAAATATAAATTACCCTTAATGTAATGGTTTACAACAATACAAATTTTTATCATTCATTTTGGACCACCAAATTTTAGAAGTCTTCATTTTTTTCTTGAACTCTGTACCGAATCAAACTACCTCACACAAAATGGAACGAAGGGAGTAACATTTATGTCATTAGTGTCTATACAGATGATCAACATATCACTAATATACAAACAAACAATGACCTTATGATTTGGAGTTTTGACAATATTAAAATCCAAATATTTGAACTAGCTAGTCAAGTGTCTCTTTAATGTAATGATACTGTGACAATGTTAAACATTATGAAGATCAGGGTGATGGCTTTGATGGTGGTCTAAGTGAGGTGTTGTGGTGGAAAATAAGGTTGATTTGGAAAAAAAAATGAGTTATATAATTAAATGAAACGAATCAAATTAAAATTGGATAATTTTAATTGATTTGAAGCTTTCTATCTAATCGAGGGGCAAAAATAATGAAATTAGTAAAAGTAGGGTATATATAACTTTATTTTAACAGAAAATGTATATTCAATCAATAAAATAAAGTCGAGAGATATTTTAAATCTTTCCCTATTTATAATCTACTGGTATGTTAATATATTTTGGATTGACATGACGATTTTATTTTTTATATTTTATTTTTTTGGGGGGTTTCCTATTGACATGACAATTGTTCCTTCACTTGTTGGTAATTACTTGTGGATAAAGGCTTAGAGTTTTGTTAGGACTTCCACTCTTTGCTTAAACACTTTATATATAAAAATATAAAATTAATTAGGTTTTTTCTTTGTATACGGGAGAGCAGCTGCTTTGTTTTCTCTCGATCGATCGTTCAAGCTACTCTCAAGGTAAGCAATTATAATAAAAAAAGTCTTCGCTTGTATCCAAACCTCCTATTCAACTCTAACTGGTGCAACTTGCACCAAGCTTGAAAATTGTTGCAGATCCGTGTGGAAGATTTTCTTTTTCTTTCACTGGGATAATATTGTGTTTAAAATTGTATAATGGAAAGGGAAAAAACAGGATTTTGCAATTTGGTAATTGATAATTATTAGGTAGAAGTATACGATCATAATTGAACCGAGTGGTTTGGGTATATTCAACCTATAATATAGGCTTGTTTTGTAAATATATTTATTTTAATTGAAATATGTTTTGATCGTATGGGATGTTGAAAGATACTAACTGATTCCGGTAATATTTACGGCAAAAACATCCAAAGCTGAATTTACTTCTTGTTGGGGGAGGGAGGGACTGAAAATTCGTGACGTGACATTAGTTGGACATTGCTCACTTTTTGCTTAGTCTATGATGTTTGAGTTGGATGCCATTTTTATTTTATTTTTCAATAATGGTGGTGTTTGAGCGAACTTACCTCCTACCAAAACAAGTACTTGATCACCTAGCTTTTTTTCTGCTGGTTGGACTTGAAGTGTGGTATTTTAATGTTTTCACCTACTTCATTGACCACTGTCGGGTCATGAGTGCTAGTCTTGTCTAATTTTTACACCTGGGGTTGCTGTTGTCATTTGTTTTGTTTTGTTGATTATGCTTTTATCATATAGCTGAACAACATCAGCTTTTTACCCTATTGTTTCACCCAACTGCTCCTTCTTTGATTTAACAAGAAACAAGCAGAGATGGGTGGAAGTGCAATAAGTGATGATTGGGAATTCACTACAAATGGAGCTCGGACACTAGTTCTGGTTGGATGTACAGGTAATGGTAAAAGTGCCACGGGGAATAGCATTGTTGGAAGAAAGGCATTCAAGTCGATGTCTAGCTCAGCTGGTGTAACAAGTACTTGTGAACTACAGAGGACTGTATTAGAAGATAACCAAATTCTTGATGTGATTGATACGCCAGGTATTATGCATCGACTTAAAAGTTTCCTTCTTTACTGCAATAAGCTTCATTAGTGAAATTAGTATATTTAAATAAGTCACACACTACTCTATCTGTTGCCTATAACTAATAAGAATTATTGTCTATAGTTAAAGTGGATTTTTATGCAGATTTATTTTCAAAAAATGTTAGTATCTATATTTGTATTGTGTGTGACTCACATGTAGAATACTTTTTATACTTAGTGATATGCTTTAGCGTGTTTTCAAGAATTATATTACTGAGACAAACTAATGCAAATTATAGCACACATAAAAAGACAACATGAAAGAGGTTAGAATTTGTCTAATCTGAGTATATTACTTGTTTTTCAAAATATAACAACATACCAGTGTAATCAATCCCATTAGTGGGGATTGGGGATGGTGTTGTTCAAGTATGTAAACTAACTGATAGGAGTGTTCTTTCATAAATTACTAGGAGGACAATTTTACCGTGTTTACCTTTATTCCTGAGATTCCTCATATGCTATTAATTGTTCCTGATTTATCTAAAGACACTGATAAAGCATGCTACATCAGAGTTGCAAAACTTGCTAACATATGGAACAATGGTGCCTCAACACTCAAAGTATCCGCATAGAAAAAAAAACATGAATTTTCTCTTTATCATATCTTGATCTGTCTTTTGACTACCTAAAGTCAAAAATAGCTGACTTCATCAGAATTACAGGATTGTTTGATTGTTCTTCTGAACCTGAATTTGTTGGAAACGAAATTGTTAAGTGCATCAATATGGCCAAGGATGGGATTCATGCGGTTCTTGTAGTTCTGTCTGTGCGAACTCGCTTTTCAAGGGAAGAACACGCAGCAGTCCAGAGTCTGAGGGAGTTCTTTGGGAGCAAAATCAGTGATTACATGATTTTGGTTTTCACTGGTGGGGATGATCTTGAAGATAATGATGAAACCCTGGATGGTTACTTAGGTCGTAACTGCCCCGAGCTTTTAAAGGTATAATGTGCTTAAAGATAATCTCATACTTATAGGCTGTTTGCCCAAACTTTTGGGAGGCCAAAAGTGCTTGTTTCAAAAAAGTGAAATGTTTGACCATGTTTTCAAGAGAATTAGTGATTCCGAGGAGTAACAAAAGTTATTTTCGGTAGCTAAAAAAAGTAACTTTTCTCTAAAGCACTTTTTTGAAAAGCATTTTTGAGAAAAATACACTTAGAAGCACTTGTAAAAAGCTTGGTCATACACTAATTGCTGCTTAAAATTACTTTTTAAAGTTATTGGTCAAACACAAACGTATCTCACCAAAGGTACTTTTTTTTTTTACTAATTGTTGCTTAAAACTTAAAACGTATCGTTTAAGTTTATTGGCCAAACACGATCTGTTTCTCACCAAAAGTGTTTTTTTGAGAAACAACTTTTCAAAAATAAGTTGAATTTAGAAGCTTGACCAAACATGCTATGACAACCTAACTTTCACTAAGATACTTGATTTTATTTGTAATTAGAAAATTTGTCAAAAAGGTTTCGTCTTATTTCATTTTTCTTCAATAATTTTGGAGATTTCTACTCCTTGATGGATAAAACTCTGGTGGGGGAGAATGTGCTTTGGCTTGTTAGATAATAACTTACAAAACCTAGTCATATATACAGCTTAGAAACAATAGCTTGTGGGATGAATCTACTACATCTGAAGAAAAGAATGCAAAAGTAAACATGTTCTCTTTTGAGGGTGGGGGTGGGTAGAGGCAAGAATTGGTAGTAGATTTATGACTTCTTAACCAAAAAATGTAAAAAAAAGAACAAATGGAAAAGAGAGGAAAGAAGTTATACTAAATATAGCTAGGTACTACGATTGCCTTGATCAAGTTTCATTCTTTTCTCTTTTCAAAGTTCTGAAATTAAAGAAAGTTCTAAATCTGGCAAAATCAGTTGGCTTTATAGGTTATTGTTTTCTCTCTTCAAACTTGTGCAAGTATGAGGTGTTTTCAACTTAAAGCATTTTCTATGATGATCTAGAATACCCTCAAGATGTGTGGAAATAGGCAAGTGCTTTTCGATAACAAGACTAAAGATCCTTTGAAGAAAGCTGAACAATTGAAACAACTACTTTTCCTGGTAAATGTGGTTGTGGAGAATAATGGTGGAAAACCATATACAGATGACTTGTTCAAGGAATTAAAGGTATGCATTTCCAACATTTCAATTGTCCTCTGTACTTTTCCAGTGATTGGGCTGACTTGTTAATTGCAATGTTTCATTTGTAGAAAGGAGCTACCAAACTTCATAACCAGGCAACCGAGGTTAATTCTTTGGTGGGATATACTAAGCAAGAGAGACTAGAGTTGAAGGAACAAATGCAAAAGTCGTATGAAGAGCAACTGAAGCGAATAACTGAAGTGGTATGTTTTATCTTTATTGAACTCTTTTGCTACTATTAGAAAATGAACTCATCAGCCATATATCTGCTTTTGTGTGTCCTATTGCCAAATGCTGATGTGGCTGCTAATTATGCTGCAGATTTTTAGTACTAGCAAGGGAATGAGCTAGTGGCTATCTTCTACTAGTTTGTTTAGAATCATAAAATTCTTTAGTTATACAAAGTTTTGTTAAGGAAGTTCTTGATTGGTACTACTTTTCTACTGGAAAAACATGATGTAAGATATTAGATTTGGCCAAAGGCCCCATAGAAACAAGCTTGACCGATCTTCCTTAGCTTTCTAGATTTCATGTTTCTGGACTTCCCTTGGCATGTTAGTTTGAAACATCTTATACTGTGTAGTGAATTAATTCGATTTCGGGAAAAATAATATACATGTAAAACTGTTTTTCCAATTTTATACTAATAAACATTGCTATGGAATGATAATGATGGTAAAACGCTTTTTTAAAAAATTAAATACAAAGACAACTCTGTTGAGTTGTATACAGTATTCTGATGCCAGGGAAGTAGGGTGTAGTCTATGAATTACATCTGGCAATGTCATAGCTTAGATAGTGCCTTTAGGCTTTTCTATTTACCTAACTATTGTTACATGTTTGATAGGTTGAGTCTAAGCTGAAGGAAACCACCCATAGGCTTGAAGAGCAATTGGCCAAAGAGCAGGCTGCTCGGTTGAAGGCTGAACTAAGTGCACAAAACGCACAGAAGAAATCAGATGAGGAGATTCGCAAGTTGAGAGAATATCTGGAGAGAGCTCAAAGGGAGACAGAGGAGCTCCGAGGTCGTTCTGGCGCATGTAACATTCTGTGAGAAAGTTATCTATATGTATATACTTTTGGGAAGAATGTGCCACTAAAGTGAATTAACTCTTCGCTTCAACTCTTTTACTACCCGTTCTATCGTATAGAAGAGAGTAGTACATCTTGATAATGTTAAATATTCAGTTGGATATTGTCTTGATTAGTAATCAGAAAGAGCTCGATGATGAATGATGGTTTAGGCTTTTATTTTCTCCCATGTTTTTGGTTCTGATTGACTTGGTGGTTAGAGCAGTTTGTGGAGTAGTTTCTTCTTCCGTCTTATTGCATGCATATATCTATGGAACTTGATGATAAGTTACTGTTATTTTACCAAAAGAAAAGGAATTTGTAGGAGGCTTGTAATGCCAACCAACTTATGTCACATTTTAATAATCAAAAGTCTCTGTAAAATTGCAATTAAGTTTGTATAAATTATAGGAACCACATATTATAAATACAAAATGACCTTTTATCCCTTTTAGAATTGAAATTACTAAAAATTCCTTAAAATTCAAGGAAGCGGGATACATCCAAATAGCACGGGATACATAAGTCCTGATACATCATATTTTTCATCTGCTGCTATTAATTAGGAGTAATTACCATGATTTTTGTTATTTGTAACTGAAATCACGTAATTAATGCTATACAGCTTGTGTAACTGATTAGTAAATTCAAATTTTAAATCAGATGATCTTCATAAATCAAAATTATTCTTGTAAAAGTTGATCTGCATACTAAGAAATAAAAAAAAAGGTTTGAAGATGAATATCTCAATTCTGCTGCGGCATTCTGGAATTTGGGTAAGCGATGTTAATTATGAAGGTTACAAAGTTCATGGTATTGTTGTTGGCCATTCCATTTCATTTGTGAATCTGAAAACGTTGATTTTATCAGAGCTTGAGATCGACACTGTTACAAAGGATATTGAAATACGATACATTGTCGAGGCAAGCACATGTCCATTGAAAATCAAAAACGACATGGGTGTGAAACTTTATTTCGAAGTTAAAAAGAATGAATCTGGAATCGGCATGTATCCGCTTTGTATTGATACAACTGATAAAATTTTATAAATAACTAGATTCAACAGTGGTGCGTTTTCAATGTAACAGTAATGCTATATGAGTTTGTTTGTGTATGTGAAGTATCATATACATGCATATTATTGAAAATATGTTATATGTTACATGTAGATTGTCTTTTTAGTTATTCAAGTGTACAACAAAAATTGACTTGTTCAATTGTTTACTATATGATTCGTGTATACAGCCTTATGAGTTATAAATTTGATATATTATATTCAACAGTGTTGGGTTTCAATGTAACAGTAATTAAAGATGAGTTTATTTATGTATATTATGTATCAGATACACTCATGTGATTGAAAATATATTATATTTTTCGTGTATACTCCCTTATGAGTTATTCTAGTGTCCCAAAACTTGACTTGTTCAAATGTGTACTACATGTTTCGTGTGTACTGCCTTATGAACTATAATTTTGATGTATTATATTCTAGTGGTGCTTTGCACTGTAATATTAATCTGTGATTAGTTTGTTTATGTATATGATGTATCATATACATTCGTATAATTCAAGTTGCTAAATATGTAACTGCAATATTTGTACATGTATGTATTATAACTTATGTATCATATACATCATTTTTATAAAGTGAAAAATACTTAAAACTCAAACAATAATGTATCATACACATTAGATCTTAAGTGTCATATACTTCATTTTGTAAATTAACTGTCAAAAATATTTAAACTAAAACAATAAAATTTTGTACCTTAACGTTATAAAGCAACAACTGTGTCTAAAATAATAACTTGAAAACACATAACATTAATAACTAACAAACTATTGTAATACCAATAAGCTTTTAAAAAAACACAAAAGATAATTGTCTTCAACACAAAACAACATAAAAACTTGTTCATCCTGTCTCAGCTAATTACTAATCTATGTTAACAATGTCATCTTCAGTTGGTGTTGTGAATTACCATCTCCAGATTTACACTCTTCCATAATATTTGTAAACTCACACGATGAAGAGAAAGAAGGAGACTAAAATGTTTGCCCTTAAAAAACTTAGAAAATCTGGTTAGAAAGAAGGAGACTCCTACAAAATATCAAATAGATATGGCTGCAAATTTGTACTTGAATTCAAATTTTGTTAAACTGCAAACGTGTGGAATGGGGAATTCAAATTAGACAATTATACACCTAAAACGTAGGGAAATAAAAAAGGAATAAAAAATAATATGGTAAATTTTAATTGGGGCTGTTAATGGGGAAGTGGGTAGCTTGAAAATAGGATTTTGTTTTAGTAAAGTAAAACTTGCCAATTGGGTGAAAAAAGGGTGGAAAATCCTTATGTATCTTTCATATTTTTTTAATTGGGGGGAATAAGGGATTTTTGAAATTTTTATAATAAGTAGGGATAAATGGTTATTAAGATAATTAAAGGAGTGTAGTTAAGTAATTTTTCCATTTAAGTTTTAAGGTCATCAAGTCGTAGTACTTGAGTTAGTCATACAGGATTTTGCTTTCAATATGATTTGTAATTAGGGTAACAATAAAGCAGGCAGATCGCAAACTAAATTGAAACTAGTAAAAATCATTTGTGACGATCTTTTACCCAAATTCAATTAAATTTCATAACTAAGCCCCAAATTTTAGGAAATGATGCAGGGTCTATTGGAAAAAAAGTTGAGATGTCCAGAGTATACTAATAGCAAACATGTAGTAAAGATTATTTATATGTTTGAAAAGTGCGTATTCCTTCCTCCTCAGTAGAAATGGATTTACCTGCATCAACAGAAACCAGAATTCAAAAGCGCGGTTTATCAAGTTACTACTCATAGTTTTCCCCATTCAAACATGCATACCTTTTGTGATCAGGAGACAATGGATCATAAGATGGTAGTGCAGTTTCCATCATGTTGAGCTGTAGCATATTTCTTGCTAAATATTGTTGAAATGCATTATACTCTTCCCCACCAGATGGCATCATGCTTAGTTCCTGCAACCTCTCATTTTCTGCTATCTGCAACCAAATCAATTCAATTGTTATTGAAGTCTTTAAATAGTAGTAATATGAGGAACAGAGTGACTCCCTCTATTTCAGAATCAACAAACGTCAGTTACAATGTGAATTGTATTATATAAACAGCAGCATCACTAGCTCATTCAGCTCTAGCTGACTACTAACAAACTTGTGGTCCCAATCTATTAACTTTTAACTAATCAACTTAATCAATTACCTAACTACCAGACGATTAGTTAACTAAATTCCAATACTCATAGAACAAGTTCAAGAATCCAAGCTTGGCTACAAGTGTGTACTTACCAAGTGCCTTTGTCAATAGATCATCTGCCTGTTGGTCTTTTTGTATGAATGTAGGTATGCTTGGACCTTTTCTCTGATAAAATGATAATCAATCTCAATGAAATACAGGGTTAACATCAATCTGTATGGCTGATTTACTATCACAATGAATGCTTGTTGGTCCTAACAACTTAACCCCCAATTCCTGAAACAAATTTTGTTACCCAAACAACTTCTGCGGACCCACATAGACTCCTTGGGTGCTCCAGCACCCGTTGACCTTGTATTAGACTTTATATATTTATGTAGAAATTAAGAACAACTTATATAAATTTGACATGGAGCGCCTAGTGAACAAATGATTTCATTGGTCCAATGGCTCATGGGTGCTTAAGGTTGTTTAAGCGTTGTTGAGCCTGAGTTTAAGTTTCATTCATTTTTTTTATATATATATATATTTTTTGTATTTATCTTGTTCTTGAACAACACCCACAACCTTGATTAGTCCAGTCACAAGAAAAGAGGTTTTCTAAGGCTACAAGGACATAGATTATGAATAATACCCCCAAAAGTCAAGAATTAGAGAGTATAGACTCATATCTTATTATACTATAGATTTTTATGGAAAACATCAACATTTGTGTAATCAATAATAACATTATGGTAAGTCAACTGGCCTGAAATGTTTAGGAAGGAAAGCGATTTCTCTTAGATTGAAAATTGTTTCTCAAAATTGTCATCAACCATCAGAGTGCTTTAAATAGTTAAAAACATATATAGAATGTACAAAATTTGCAATAAGATATTTCAATAACTTAAACAACATAACAAAAATTTGAAATTCAAATTCATTCTAAATCAAAACAATTTATTATGCTAAAAAATATAGCTGAACATAAATTTCAACAAGATATCTAAATAAATATATAATTCAGTAGAATAAAAGTACTTGGAGAAATTGTTAATCAGTCTAAACTTTATAATTACCTTTCTTTTTTAAAATTTGCGATTGCTACGAATATTTTTATTACAGTGCTTTAACTTGAAGAAGCATTTTGATTTTAAAAGTGTAAAATACTGTATAATGGGAGATTTGCTAATTGTCTCTCATTGTTCATCTATAATTCTGTTCAAATTTTATTTAGTTTCTTGATGATAAAGCATTCACTCATTTGTTAAAGCTGTTGATACAGATACGGGATCAAAAATAAAGAGCCTGTACAACTTTAACTATAATATGTTATACCAATCTTCCCACATAATTTGATATTCATTAATTTCAATTTATGAATTTCTAACCTTTCCCCTTCCAAAATCCGTATAAATAAAAAAAAGGTTTTATAATCATAAATTTCAGGGAATTGATTTAAAAATCTGAAAATTAAGTTAAAGAACATATGAGGGGAATGAAATAATAGTTCTAATTTTTAATTGACATATAAAAAGTATAGAATAATATTGAAATTATTTAGTATTTGTTAGATTAATTCTCTTCCATTAATTTAGCTAAAATGGAAAATACATTATTATAATTTTTGGAAAAAGTAGTGTGATATTAATACTAATTTTATTAATTATTTTTGAACGTATTAACGAGCTTTGAATTTATTGATTTTTCAACATAAAATTTACAAAATGAAATTAATGAGTACCAAAATATGTGAATGATACTGCATAGAATAACTAAAAAACGGTTACTACGAACAAGTGTCGTTTATCTTGTGTAGTTTGGGAAATAGAGAAAAAATGTAATAGAGAAGATTGATATAAAAAGCAACTTTAAGTGATCAAAAAATATATATAAAATACCTTTGATCTAAGGAATGCATTTTCCTGTTCAAGTTGAATTTCCTACATCAAGTTAAAGAATTTGAATCAGTAGAATTTTTTTAAAAAAATATAGTGAGAGTCCATTATATTAAAAAATTAAAGAAAATACCCTCTTGTGCAAATCCTCAGTCTCAGCTAGTATTGCTTCATGCTGCATCCCCAACACAAACAAATAACAATTACTTAATATATGCTCATCATATAATTAAGACAATTAATTAAAATATTATATGATATGATAATTATAAAATATTATACCTTTTTGGACCTAATTCTTGTAATGCCTCGTTCAAGTCTGTTCTCCAATTGCTTCAGTTCCCTCACATTCAAAGAGCTCAGCCCTTCACCCACCAGATGCCTGTACTTTTTATTTACATTCAAATTAATTATCACTCACTATTTATTTATTTATCGAATATTATTATATATACATACAAATTAAATCACCTATTTGTGTTCTGCATCATTTGTATCTGTTGCCGCAACTTCTTTGATTCTTGTTGGTAAAACTATAAAAATATTAAATAAAAACGAAATTAAATAAAAAGCATAGTAGTTAAGTTATATATGACATTTTTGTATGTAAAATATTAAATAAAAACGAAATTAAATAAAAAGCAAAGTAGTTACGTTATATATTACATGTTTTGTATGTAAATAATTAAATACAAATACCTGTGCATTGAGCTCTTGAGTAGTGTACGCACTAGACGTTTCTGCTGTTGCCTTTTTGTATCGTTCTATAGTTGCCTTTACACTGTCCACATATATAACATTTTTTAGCTCTTTCATATAAACATAAACATATACAACAATATTTATAGTTATAAATTGCTTAATGTATTGCAATTTATATATTTTTAGGAATAGAAGAGAGATTGGAAGAGGGAGGAGACAATCGAGCTATGTTTGGTATAGATAAAAAGAGGACGTATACAATTTATTGAATTGATTTGTATATCAATATTATGTATAAACTCCACTAACAAACTTGTCGTCTCCACCTACTAACTAATTTTAACTAATCAACTTAATTAATTAACTAGCTATCAGACAATTAACAGGACTCCGGTGCTCGAGCACCCATTAGTCTTATATCGTACTATATCTATTCATGTAGACATTAAGAAAAAGTTGTATAAATTTAACACAAAACACTTAAGCAAATGGTTTAATTGGTCCAATAACTCACATTAGGTGCTTGTGTTGTTGAGCCTGAGTTCAAATCTCATTCTCTAACATGTTTTTTATATATATATCTCGAACAATAACTGATTACTCCAGTCACAAGAGAAGAGGTTCGAGGTTTTCTAAGGCTACAAGTGACATAGATTATATTTGTATCATAATAATAATAATAATGTGTTGTATATTCTTTTAGAATATGATTGATACAATGTTGTGTGTATACATTTGAATTGTGTGTTGTATACTCTTTCAAATATGATTGATACAATATTGTATCTCTTCCTTGTTCATACAAATGAACGAAAGGAAAGGAAGAAGAGAAGTCTCCAACCATCTATCTTTGGCCAAATTTTTATCTATACCTAATTTAGTAATATATCCTATATATATTAGGCAAGATAAAGAAAGGGAGTGTAAAACTAGAGTTAAATAGTAGAAATAAAATAGTAAAGGCGTAAATATTAATTAACATTGTATTTTAAATGATACCTACAAAATGCATTAATTGAACAACTCAGAATGAAATACAAATCGAGATAAAGTGCGAAAATAAAATAAAAATGATGATAAATTAGACATGTTGTCCATATATTTGGGAATTAATATTTCAAAAGGTCACTCAACTTTGAAAATTTATCTTACAAAGTCATTGAACTTTATTCTGTATCAATAAAATCACTCAACTTAGACTTTTATTTAAATAAAATTATTTAACTAAATTTATCATTAAAAAAACATTTGATATAGTAAAAAAAATATTTTCTATGTTCATATAAATATGCACCCTATAAATGAATTAAAAAATAAAAAAATTGTTAATAACTTTAGGAACAAACTTAATTAATGAAATATATACTTTTATAATATTAAAGTATGTAAGCATTATGACATTATTATAATTATTTCAAAAAAAATTTACACAAAATTGACTAGTTAAAGCAAAAAATTAAGTTGAAAAATTTTAACGTTATAAAAAAAGATTAAGATTAACAGAGCCAAAATAATTTTAAGCTTCAATGAAGAAGTACAATAATATATAATATTATTTTTTTTAAAAAAAAGTTACAAAATAAAAAAGACAAATTTTATTAGATAATTTGTTTGTGTTAATTCTCTGAACAGTTATTAGTTAAAAATTAACACTACTTTTAAAAATTAACCTAATTAGATTTGTCAATATAAATTTTATCGATAATTTGTTCATGCTATTCTCAAAAACAGATAAACTAGTGAACCAATAAATAGAACTACTAGTTATTTCTTTTTATTTAGTCCCATAAAAATTTAAATTAGTTTTCTTAATTTTATTTATTTGTAGGGTCTATTATATATGAAACAAAAAAAAATAATGATAAATTTTGTTTAGTGATTTTACTAACACAAATGTCTAAGTTGAGTGATTTTATTGATATGAAAATCTAAGTTGAGTGATTTTTTTTGATACAAAATAAACTTTAATGACTTTGCTAGATCAATTCCTAAAGTTAAGTGATTTTATTGATATAAAAATCTAAGTTAAGTAATTTTTTTGATACAAAATAAACTTTGATGATTTTGCTAGATCAATTTCTAAAGTTGAGTGATATTTTAAGATATTAACTCACATATTTGGCCTTATGTATATAAATAGTTCTCCTAAAGCACAGAAAGGTGCATTACTATGTATTAGATTAATGCATATATATTATAACGTGTTTATAAATTTTAGATTTGTAAATAATTTCAGTTCTTCTATTCTTTTGTTCTTCACTAGTTCATTAAACTTGGTAACTTCGTATTTCTGCAAAGTTTGTTGGAATCAGTAAGACTCTTTAGACACATATTAACAACAATTCTTTTTTAAGAAAAATATTTCGTATTTTGTTTTTAAATCTGTTTCTGGTTCTAGTTTCGCTACTAGTTTTAATTTTCTAGTTGTGAAAATGTTCTTAAACTTTGTTGTCTTACAAAGACGATCAAAGTTTTGTTCTAAGTATATTTGAAATACAAGATTAACAACATTATATATATATATATATTATATATATATATATATATATATAAAAGAGACAGTCCCAAAGTACCAAGACTTGCCTTATGCATGCAAGGGGAAAAGTAGCATGCATGCATGTATGTATCATTAACAGAGAGAAGAGAATATATGTGTATATATATTCAAAACCTGAACTAATTATGAAAATATATTTGTTGCATACTAAAAGCAAAAAAGCAAAACACAAAGCTAAATGAGCTTTTAACAGTGTATAAGCTACAAGTAGAAATCAAACTACTCCTACAACCACAAGTCCTCAAACAATGCAAAAGCTAACTTTGCACTTCTCCATATAAGAACTCACAGTTTTTCTGCTGATTCACTTAATTCCATTTTTCTCTTTCTATTTTGTTGCCCTTTTTTAGCTTATTATTGTAATGATATATGTGGACTATGGTTCCTAAAGACACACATTAACAGCCCATATGATCAAACTTCAATCCACCAAATGTGCTTATATATTTATCCCGCGAAATGACAATATTTATAGTTTATTATTTATTTTAGCTATAATTTTGAATATTTGATATGATTTGTATAATGCGATTTTTGATTGTATAAATTCAGAATTTATGTATTCTTACCCTAGTTATTTTCATACAAGTTGTTGATACATTTGATTTATATAAGTTATAAAAAATTCATAATAAATTACCATGTTTATACATTGAAAAATGAAAATATGTAAATAGACTTTTGAAAAGTTAAAAAATGTATATATACAAAATGTATGTATACTTACCCTGTTTATCTATTGACAAACGAAATATACAAGCACAACTGCCCATAGCAACTAGAAATTATAGCTATAAAGTGTAATTAGACAAACTGTTGTTGTTGAGGAGGCTTATTAAATTTAATCTCTTTCACTTATCAATTGTAACTAATCTGGAAACTATTGCTTCTTTTATTTTTCTGATTTTTTCTACAACTATTTAATCCTCCATTTATTTTTACTTGACTCATGTTGATGTGATATAATTCTTAAAAAAAGAATATTATCACCAGTATTATATCTTACTAACTAACTTTATTAATGATATTTTGAAAATGTAAATTTGACTATTATATATTATTACTTTATGTAATTATTTAATACCAAATAGATCGAAAAAATCGCTCCACTTAATTTACTAAAAGGAACAAGTACACATTGAAGAAAAAAATTATTTGTAATAATATTACAGGCGAAATAAGAAATCGATTTTTATGAAGAATCATTGTTAGAGACTATTTTTTGTCTATTAGAGAAATTTTTTATAAAACTTACCCCGAAGCGTAACAAATTTTGGGTTACAAAATTCTATAAGAAACTCTATATTTCCAATGTACTTATATTTTTCTTGGTGTCCTTAATAATTCTTCAAAATCAAGTGCACGAATACAAAATTAAGTGGTAAAAGTGTGTTACTCCTAATTCTCTAATTAACTTTTAGACAAGACACATCACACACTTTTAACATTAACTACTTGAGATTATCTGAGTTAATTCTTTGATTGTAGCTAGAAGTTAGGAAAAAACAAGTTCAATTAATTTGCTTCTCCTCATTTTAAAATGTTGTATACTTTTAATCAACTAGGAATATTTACTTATCTTTTATTTTAAAGTTATTATGGAGTAATTCATAATTAACGAGGATGTGAAGTTTTAGAAATTGTAATGTAGCGATATCTCCGTTCACTTTCAATTGTCATGATTTTTTTTTTGAGTTAAATGAAATGACTTTGAGTAACAGTTATAATGTATTTTCATCATATTGATATACGGAAAATTACAATTTATAGTACTTTTTGTATATCTTTTAAATATCAATTTATATATATATATATATATATATATATTAATATAGAATTAATATAATCTAATTTTATTCTAAAAATTAATCGAATTGATTTTTGAAAAACACAATATAACAATTAAAAATTAATACTTTTAACCTAAATTAAACACTAAGCTATGAGCTATCCCTTTTCTTTTTTCTTTTAGAATTTAATTTTCAGATTTATCGGACCCCATTAAACCAATCATAATTAGGAGCTGAGAACGATCCTCTACGCCTGCATGATCAATTTCAAAAGCTCATTCATCCACTAAACTACATTACAGTATAAACAAATTCACTAAAACAACAAATATTTCTTAAATATACTACAAACTAGTAAAAAAAACATTTTTTTTACTTTAAGTTTATTCTTATCTCCTCTGTTTCAATTTATGTGTTATAGTAGAAATTTTGAGATTCAACCAAGTTTTTTTTTAAAACAATAATCGCTTATAATGTTTTTTTTTGTTTTAAAAATATTTTAAGTTAATTAGGAATAAACATGTGTAAATAAGGAAAGTAAGAAAGTATGAGGAGGAGTTACTTGTTGTTAGAGTATTCATAGAGTCGACCACGAGTAGAGAAAACAATGAGAGCAATCTCAGCATCACATAGAACTGAAAGTTCATATGCCTTTTTCAGTAATCCATTTCTTCTCTTGCAGAATGTTACCTGTCGATTTGTGTTGTTTTCAATCCTCTTTATCTCTATCTTTCCTCGACCCATCGATCGAATCGATCGATCTACACATAATACAAAAATTTAAGTTAGGGTTTAATTCTTTCACTCATCAACATATAGATCTGAAGATTTACATGTTTTCAGATGATTGAGTATAAACAAACCTGAGTGAGTTGAATGGATAAGATATGCTATTTTCCGGCGAGTCTTTTCCAACAAAGACGTTGCTGCTATACTCTTATTAAACAAATTATGAAATTAATCACACTATACTATACTATAAGTAAATATATGAAAGGAAAATGACTAACACAGAGCAGCTGGCAAAGAAAATGACATTTTTTCCACATATAAACCAGACATCTTCTTCTTTATTACCACCGTTTGCACATCAAATTCTACACCAAAATAGCATAGGGTTTAATTTCCTCTTTTTTCAACCTCAACTTATTTCCTCTTGTTTTTTTTTCTTCCTATACAATTAAGGGGAAAATTTCGAAAACAACAAATGTATTACACCTTAAATGAGTTTGCTTGATTACGAATAATAATAAAATGTTAGGGTCGAAGAGAGGCGAGCGAAATCTCATACAGATTTGGAAAAAAAAAATACAGATGTACAAACTGACTTGTAACAAAATGAATACATATTAGGAGGAGAGAGACGAGCAAGATCTCTAGAGAGAAGAGAGGCAGACGAGATCAAAAGGGATAAAAAAGGCGAACAAGATTGAGAGAGCGAGGAGAGAAGATTGTATTTTATATTTTTATTTTGCATTGTATTCTATATTTATTTTGTATCAATTGTATTTGAAATACAACGAATACAACTATGTTCATCATCTCTTTGATTGGATACAAAATACATTTTGTAGAAATGATGAATGCATATTGTATTTGTATGAATATAAATACAATTGATACAAAAATTAAAAAAACAAAAAATTTCAAATACTATTGAAATAACATACAAAAATCTCACTTATATTTAACTGAACACAATTGATACATAATACATTAGAATAAATCCCTTCTTATGGGCACAAGAAAAAGAAAAACAAAGAGATGGCGAGAGTGAGGAGAGGGCAAGACAAGCGAGAGAGGTTTGCTATAAAAAAAAAAACATTTTATTATTTATTATACTAGTAATATTTTTCAACTATAGCTATTTCCCATAAATAAATTGTAAGATTGTCATTTTCCATAATTTTCCCAAACTTTCAAAAACAACAAATATTTTAAGTTGTGTAACTAGTCTTAGTGTAAGCGTTTTGCGAGAGTCTCTTGCATTAATAAGAATAAGTTTTAAATAATAGCATAAATAATATTATTTAAAAGATGTGATGGTGTAAAATTAAAATAATTTAGAAAGTAAATTTTAAATTTTAAATTGATAATTAATAACTTTAAGAGTTTGATCTTATCTAATAATTCTTCCTTTAGTTTGTTCAAATTATTGCATTGTTGATTAAAAGTGTTGTTAAAATAGAGTTTGATCGAATGAGAAAAGAGTCTTTCGAATGACAAAATTTAATAATCAGTATAAATTTTGTTTTACTGCACTCTTAACGAATTTAAAAATTTAATATGAATATGAGCATTACGAGACATATTGAAATACAAAATCGTATGGTAGATTAAAACATATAATATAAGTTATTCCTCATCCCCGGGGGCGGATCTATGTGAACGGGTAGGGGATGCCATGGCACCCAATGATCTCGAAATTATATATATATATATATATATATATATATATATATATATATATATTGACTTTGCCACCCACAACATGAAATGGCGAACGACTTAATTAGCGCAGGAGACGCCTGTCATAGTTTGAGTGCAGGTTCAAAACCTTGCTTGCTGCACTATTTTTTGGCCCGCAGGTGACTCTTTTTCTTTCTTTCTTTTTTTTCTTTTTTTTTATGTCTTTTTTCATTAACGTGTTAAGGGTATTTACTGTTTTTTCTTGCATTCATTCTTATTTATTTGTTACCAGGTAAATTACTAGTGCTTTGCACGAGATTGAACTATGTTATTAAGCTCACATTGATCATTCAGTAATATTCAGATTTTCGATATATACACTACATTGTCAAGATTATTTTGGCAATCTAAAATCTTAAAAGTGCTATATTTTTTTATACAAAATTTATGAGTTATTGATACAATCAAATTTACTTCTCGAAAAGAAGTAAAAGCGATCACATCAAGTAAAGTTCCCAACTAGTAAGGTTGGGATCATTCCCACGAGGAAAATGGTTCAGACTTAACTTTATTCTATTAATACTTTTATTTAATCAATTATTTTCCGAAAATAAATAACTAAAGGGGTTTTTGATTAATAAAAGCAATTAGCTAAATTAAAGTAAACAAGTAACAGGTTTAAGTATTGGAGTTTAATCAAATAATGAGAGTAACTAGGGCGTGTGTTCCCACAGGCTCCCAACCCAGTAATTTTAGCTATAACAATCCTTTCCTAGTATCTTGCATGCAAAGTCATAAGTTAAGTATCTCTAAATCCTTGGTCCGTCATCTAGAGCCTTGGTTCGGCTACGTGTGTTGCGTTACTAAATCTTATCTTTACCTCATATTAAGCATCATATTTGATATTTGACTAAGTTGTAACTTCGTACCAAGCGACACTAGCCTATTAGATAGTATACACTAAATCTATGTTGATAATTCTTTTCGTAATATCTACCTCCTTGGTTCAGCAAGTAGCAATAAGACGAGTTCTAACGTTGGTCATCCGTTAAAAAGACTTCTAAGTGAAAGAATTAGCAATACATGCAAGACACTATTCTAGAATTGTTATTTTAGCTATATTTTACCTTGTTATTTACCCATGGTTCCCACAACCCTAGTTATGAAGTTTAGTTACCCATGCTAATAATTATACATTTCATATTGATTATATAAGAATTCATGCGCTTACTTTTATGAGAATGAAGAAAATCCCGAAATTCACTTGAATAATTGACAAAAACACCAACAGTTGATTCTGGAAAAGTATGATCAAATACCAAAATCAAGAGTTCAATGCTTTAACAAGAGAAATAAAAAACATCCAAAAGTCTAACCCCCAAAACTAGGTTTTTCAAAGTATTTATAATAAAATAAAACCTAATAAAAGAAGGGCTATATTTAAGGCAAATCTATCCAAAACGCGTCTGAATCGATGATCCCTGCGACGGACCGTCGTGGACTACGTCATTCCATGTTGGCATAATTTTTCTGCTACTTTCTTCATCAACTTTTTGTTACCCTCGACGGAAAAATATGACGGACCTTTACAAGCACAATGGTCCATCGAGGGGTTCCGTTCTACAACACTTAGAAATTTCTTGAAATTGGTTACTGGAACTACTCTCTGACAACCACGGCGAATATGCAGGACGGATCATCATGAGTTTCCATAGTCCCACACTTGTTCAGACTTCCCCAACTTCCTTCACCAGCCATTTTCTTATCACTACGGGGCCACCTACGACCGTTACAGTCACGACAGACCGTCGTGGGCTCCGTAGGTTGTAACTTCTGCAATTTATGCTCAAATCCTCCGCGTTCTCCTTTGGATAGATTTCCTGCAAATAAAGAGAAACCTACATTATAAAATCAATACAAAAAGGCTTTAGACACACACTAAACTTAAGGAAAATACATTGAAAGTACCGTGAGACCACGGTACATCAGTTATAGAGACATTTAAGTATAAGAAAGAAGTTTAGGGAATCTTCATGGAAATAGTAGGTCAGAAGCAATGAAATTTTATAAATTCTAAGAACTTATAAAGAATAACATTAGGCATTAAAAAAGAGATTAAAAAGCCTCAAACAATAACATTCCCAGGTAAAGTGTAATATCACTTCCATACAAAAATATAAGTAATTCAAATGGAGGACATTCGACTCCTTTATTATGACCCTAAAATTGTTAGTATCATAAATGATTTTCCTCATCGTCTTAGAATAGTCATTGCTATTGTTTAGGTTTCACTTCACCGACCTAACTTATTGGAACTGAACCATAGTTATTGTTATGGTTAGATTATGTTGTTACAAAGAATTAATGTTATTATCATCCAAGCAGTAAGCGACATCATTCATAACTGGATATTCTAGACAAAAATATTTACACATAACATATTAAAATCTCAAAGAATAATTTTCTGAGTGCTTGAACTCACAAATATAAAAAATTAATAATAAAGATAACCTTACTTTCCTAACAATCAAGAAGAAAAATGCATGTTGCTTAACATATTTTTCAAAAAGATAGTCTGTCAGTCTATCCAAGTTTACAGTTGGGATAATGCTCAACTACCCCCTCAACCTATGCCACAAATCTCAGAGACACACTTATACTATACTAAGGTCCTATTAACCCCCTGAACTTATTTTATTAATAATTTTTTACCCTTTTTGACCTACGTGGCACTATCTTGTGGGCCCAACAAATGTTGACTTTTTTTTTCAAACTAGTGCCACGTAGGCTAAAAAGGGGTAGAAAAATACTTATAAAATAAGTTCAGGGGGGTAATAGGACCTTAATATAGTATAAGTGTGTCTCTGGGATTTCGGGCATAGGTTGAGGGGGTACTTGTGCATTATCCCTTTACAGTTCACAAATTTAATTGAAAAACAAGACAAAAGAAAGAGCTATTACTTGTTTATCAACAAAACAAAAAAAAAACTTTATCAAAAGAAAGAGTTATCACTACGGCAAAATGATCTTTAGTGACAATTATAAATGTCCCCAGAAAAAAGTTCATAGCAACATTGAATCTAATGAAAATTAATTAATGTAGGTAAAGACTCTAGCACTTTTAATTACTGTGCATATTTATTGCCAATAAAGAATATTTTTATTTCAGTGTGATTTGAACATTTATTAGTTTCAAGAAAATTTGATCTCTTATTATGCCTAAAAAGAAGAGACGAATAAATATGACAAATTAGTTAACTTGCGATAAAAGAAGTGAACTAATTGTCTCTATGCTAATTTCTTGGCTGGGTCCAATGGCATATAAAGTGTTTGTACCTAAGAATGAGGAATAAAAATAATATACTAATTGTGACAAAGAAGAGAGAAATATGTTTGGTTCTTTTAACAAACTTCAGCATTGGTTGCGTATTAGTTATCACATATATATTTATTGTTCTGTGCTATCAAATATAGCACAACCCACAAGAAATTATTCCATAAAGTGTATGAATAAAACTACAT